CTGTGAATATAATTGGATGGAAGTTAGAGTAGATAACTGACTTTGCATTTAATTCCGTGAGGAAAATCACACCCAGGAGTGAAGGATACTGGAAACTGTTGTACTGATCCTCAGTGGGTTCTTGGAATAACCCAAGAAATGAGAGATGCTTACAGGTATCCTGAGGATCTGCAATAAACGTACGTTTGTTGCTGCAGAAAATAGCATATCTTATCTGCAGGACATCTAAATTCATTCTGTCCTTCCTATCTCCCGTGAATAAAACATTTTCAACAAAGAACTTTTCAAAGGAGCAGCGTGAAAAATATCTCACAGAAAAGGACTGCACGAACTTCTGGAACAAGCTGCGAAAGAAATGTAATAGAGCATAAGAACATTAATAGATTATTCACATTTTGCCGCTGAAGCGGCTAGTTAATTGTGTACTCCCATACTCATCTTGTGGACGGCAGCGCTAGAGCATATTGATACACAAAAGGCAAGCAAAAATATTCAGACTCCACTGTAAAGTAAGAATACAGTGTAGCATATATTCAATACTTGAAAATGGGAGTGCAAAAAAACCACGTTACATAAATATTTATATCTATATAGCCTGTGCACCCTGTGAGATTCAGTAATATTTTTATTGTATACTACGATGAACACTGCAGGACAACTAGTAGTGTAACAGACATCGTTGACATCCATGAACTCAACAATTTGTTTCAAGTTTGCACCAAAAATAATTTAGCAACTCACCTATAAGCTTGCTAAAACCTCATTTAGGAAGAACTAATTTATTTAGTATTAACATAAATTAAATACATTTATTTCAAGATGTTCAGGCTCATTTTAGCAGAAGTATTGCAACTGAATTTAACATGGACGACTCTGCTTAACCATCAAGCCAGGAAGACATACCTAGTTATTTTTAGTCTTTCTTTCTCTTCCCTATCTTCTGTATTTTCTTTGCAAAGGTCTTTCCCACCGCTGTCCATGTCTCCTTTGATGCTCTGGTCTTCGTGGAATTTAACTGCAAAAAATGCATGCATGTAAATAAACAAATGCTATGTAACTGAAGCATGTGATAATAGCAACTCGATGTCAATGTTTTCTGATACATTGTTTATAGAATACTGCCTCAGTCGGGTCCCAGAGAGCAACTATTTAGGGAGATACTCCGTGGTCATGAATACTCGCTAATTTAATATTTTTATTATGCACCCCGTACCTATCCTGTGGCGGTAGTCAAATTACAGAGGCACATAATGGGTCCAGGGACTGGGTCACAAGTTTTGACAGCTAACAAGTTACAGCGGTAATAAGTGCAAAACGGAAGCCTGTTCAATGTTTCAGATATGATATCATGTCATTCCTCGTAGCTTCGTAAATATATAAGATGGTAGGATTCTTTTTCCACTCTAGCAGGCCTAATACAATTATACGCCTTTGAAAATAAACTAATAAATTAAATATGGTTCGATCACATTAAACATGAAGCAAAGTATCTCATCACATATCCTATACCTAGTATATCCCACGATATATATTTTTTTTTCAAAGCACCGGTGGTATCCCACCAAGGCTGGGTGACCTATAAGGAAAAACGAAAGTTTTTCTTTACAGATAGGGTTACTAGCCTTGTTCCCGGCATTTCAGTTGCCTCCTACGACACATGACTTACGGAGGAAGAATTCTTTTCCACTTCCTCATGGAGACAAAAGGAATATAAAACAAGAACTACTAAGAAAACAGAAGAAAACTCAGATGGGTGTTTACCTGGAGTTTACCTGGAGAGAGTTCCGGGGGTCAACGCCCCCGCGGCCCGGTCTGTGACCAGGCCTCCTATATACAAATGCGTGTACATGCATGTGTAGTGTGACCTAGGTGTAAGTAGAAGTAGCAAGATATACCTGTTGTCTTGCGTGTTTGAGAGAAAAAAAGACACAAGCAATCCTATCATAATGCAAAGCAATTACTGGTTTCCGTTTTACATTCATTTGGCAGGACGGTTGTACCTCCTGGCTGATTGCTTGTCTACCAACCTACTACCTACATTTTTTTATATAAAAATAAAATGTCTTCCTTCAAGGCACCTCCCATGAAATAGTAAAAATAGTATGGGATACGACAGGTTGGAAAATACAAAAGGACGCAAAATACAAACGCCAGAACGTTTTATTGGGGGTATTTTAGTATAGGTCCCATGAGTAAAACGAGTCTAATAAAACGTCGTATTGTTTGAAATTTTAAGCCTTTCAATCCCCCATGGAGTCTGTTTTTTTTTTTTGCCCTATAATAGCTTAATTGCTACTAGAAAAAAAATTACTCCCTATACAACCTATGTTTGTAACTACGGTAAACAGAGTATACATAGCCACTCGTCTTCAGTATATCTGGGGGAGGTCCTAAACCCGTAGGGGCTGTAGCGCATGTAGGGGAATGACATTTGTGTTATGAATGATCGAAAGAACAGTTGTAATTCCTTGCTTCAACAGCCCCTCTGAAAAAAAAAAGGCACCTCCCTCGATTCATGTCAACGAAATCTCAACAACTGCTCTATTGTTTTCATGGTAAAGTGCAAACCCGTAAAGGTCATACAGGACCTGGGAATGGAAGATAATCAGGTTTGATCAAATGAAGGGTGGCTCAAGTTTCTTGGATCTTATCACCGAATTTCCTCCATTGAAGTCAAAGTCCGGCATCTCACCATCCTGCATATATGTATACACAGTGTTTGCATGCCTTATTCACTCCACAAGATATTATTAAGTATAAATTTAACGCAGGGGCTGGAATTACAAAAAAAATCTATGGGAAAAACAGAGAATCACTTACGTAGTCTCCCGCTTCTCTGCCTCGTTGATACATTTTATCAACAACAAAAATGTATGTGGATTTAATTTACCAGTATGAAAAATATGTTATTTAGCTAAGCAAAATAAAATTATGTGTGATTTAACTCAACAGAATAAAAATATATCATTTAATTAAGAATTTTAGAAAAATATATTTCAAATTTATCTCCATGTTGACATTCTCAACGAAGATCAATTAGACACTTATGCAATATCTGGGCTTTTTTTTTTTTTGTAGAGGTTTCGCCATCCAGTGACTTTATCAGTACAAATTTAAGAACATAATTGGAAGACAGTAAGAAATGTATACCAAAGGTGTCCCGTAGCTCGCTTTATAACTCGCTCTGTTATCAAAACTTTGGGGCCCAGTCCCTGGGCCCATTATGTACGTCTATAATCTTTTGACTACCGCCCACTAAACTCACACACTGAGGTCCGAGGTTCGAATCTCCTCCGGTACGGCTGGAAAACATTAGGAACGAGTTCCCATAAGACACCTACTGTCCCTGTCCATCAGTTTAAAATGGTACCTGGATGTTAGTCGACTGGTGTGGGTCACATCCTGTGACAAAACTGGCCTAATGGGCTCGGGAAAACAAGGCCTAACGTTCACGACAATCAAAACGACAGTAGTGGGCAAAGCTCCGCCGGGACACTGCCCACTTGACACCTAGCCAGCGTATAATACCACGTAGTGATCCATGTGGAGGAGGGGGGAAGGGAATTATTATGGGGGAGCGCTAAACCCGTAGGGATTATACAGCACCTGTGGGGAGGATGGAAGGCATTCAGAGAATTGGAGCAGTGGTCCACTTCCCTAGATCACCCCTAGAGGGGACAATGTGGAGGACCCCTCACCTGAGGGCTTTTCTGCATGGATTTAAATGTACTTGCCTGATCATATTAACACTAACGGGGGCATTTCTTTCGATGATTCTGTTTCTGATGCTTGGGATATTAAATTCTTTCCGTATGTTCAGTAATTTAGTCATGTAAGGACATCCAAGGATGATCTTCATGGCTTCAATGTTCGCTAAAGATAGCTCTTTATAAACTTGCAAAAGGTTACATAGATCAGGGTAGCTTCATAATACACTGTTCATATAGTAATAAAAAAATACATACATAAGTTTCACATATATATCATTTTCAGGAATATCAGTACACTTAATGTAGCTGCTAATATTTAGCAATTATTAGCTTACGTGATATACTGAACATAATACGGGCTTTACAAAAACTTCCGGTATGTAATGTATATTTTGGCTTTACGTTTATCTCCTGCATTTATTTTTACCATACAAGGCTATTAATAATAGTGGTAGTGAAGTGTTGTAGTGAATATGAAGGTAATGAGGTGGAACTTCACCAGCAGTCACCAGAGTGCTCCAGCCTCTTGGTAAATATTTATATAATCGACCTCAATATCACTCTTTATCTCACAGTAATGATATCCTTTTCCTCTTTTTGATGTTTTGGTAAGTGTGACCGTTTAAGGGATGAATGTTATGCCTGTGCTATAAGATTAATCATGAGCATCAATCATAACAGGAAATGGTTGTTGTTGATAAAGTGTCTCCCTACAACCCCCCTGATGCCGGTGAAGGGCTTTTGATACAAGGAATTGGAGCTTCCTTCCCCCTTCCTCAGACCAAATAATACTGACGAGGTTTATTATATCACTAGTACTGTACGTAACAAGGTTTAATTAGGTACAGTTACAGTTTTTGGTTACTTACAAATGTCTTGCATAGTAACGTGTGTAAATTACCCAGAGACTTGTTACATACGTTTCTTGCTTCATGATAATTAAGATAAGATTTCGTTCGGATTTTTAACCCCGGAGGGTTAGCCACCCAGGATAACCCAAGAAAGTCAGTGCGTCATCGAGGACTAACTTATTTCCATTGGGGACCTTAATCTTGTCCCCCAGGATGCGACCCACACCAGTCGACTAACACCCAGGTACCTATTTGCTGCTAGGTGAACAGGACAACAGGTGTAAGGAAACGTGTCGAAATGTTTCCACCCGCCGGGAATCGAACCCGGGCCCTCCATGTGTGAAGCGGGAGCTTTAGCCACCAGGGGGGGGGGAAGTGATGAAATTTAAAGTCACTGTTGGTAATAATACTTGTGTATGAAAATGGATGTCAAATGTTGCGTGTGAGAGTGTAAGACCACTGTAATGTATGGTGTGTGTGACAGTGTAATACCACTGTAATGTATGGTGTGTGTGTGACAGTGTAATACCACTAATGTATTGTGTGTGTGACAGTGTAATACCACTGTAATGTATGGTGTATGTGACTGTAATACCACTGTAATGTATGGTGTGTGTGTGACAGTGTAATACCACTGTAATGTATGGTGTGTGTGTGACAGTGTAATACCACTAATGTATGGTGTGTGTGACAGTGTAATACCACTGTAATGTATGGTGTGTGACAGTGTAGTACCACTGTAATGTATGGTGTGTGTGACAGTGTAGTACCACTGTAATGTATTGTGTGTGTGACAGTGTAATACCACTGTAATGTATGGTGTGTGTGACAGTGTAATACCACTGTAATGTATGGTGTGTGTGAGTGTAATACCACTGTAATGTATGGTGTGTGTGACAGTGTAATTCCACTGTAATGTATGGTGTGTGTGACAGTGTAATACCACTGTAATGTATGGTGTGTGTGACAGTGTAATACCACTGTAATGTATGGTGTGTGTGACAGTGTAATACCCACTGTAATGTATGGTGTGTGTGACAGTGTAATACCACTGTAATGTATGGTGTGTGTGACAGTGTAATACCACTGTAATGTATGGTGTGTGTGACAGTGTAATACCACTGTAATGTATGGTGTGTGTGACAGTGTAATACCACTGTAATGTATGGTGTGTGTGACAGTGTAATACCACTGTAATGTATGGTGTGTGTGACAGTGTAATACCACTGTAATGTATGGTGTGTGTGACAGTGTAATACCACTGTAATGTATGGTGTGTGTGACAGTGTAATACCACTGTAATGTATGGTGTGTGACAGTGTAATACCACTGTAATGTATGGTGTGTGACAGTGTAATACCACTGTAATGTATGGTGTGACAGTGTAATACCACTGTAATGTATGGTGTGACAGGTGTATAAACCACTGTAATGTAGGTGTAGGTGTGACAGTGTAATACCACTGTAATGTATGGTGTGACAGTGTAATACCACTGTAATGTATGGTGTGACAGTGTAATACCACTGTAATGTATGGTGTGACAGTGTAATACCACTGTAATGTATGGTGTGACAGTGTAATACCACTGTAATGTATGGTGTGACAGTGTAATACCACTGTAATGTATGGTGTGTGTGACAGTGTAATGCCACTGTAATGTATGGTGTGTGTGACAGTAATACCACTGTAATGTATGGTGTGTGTGACAGTGTAATACCACTGTAATGTATGGTGTGTGTGACAGTGTAATACCACTGTAATGTATGGTGTGTGTGACAGTGTAATACCACTGTAATGTATGGTGTGGATATTAAGTGTTTAGGGTCATTTTGGATTCTTGTGTATTAATCTGTTTCTGTGTACCTTTTTAATATAGTTATACCACTTTGTATTGCATTGTTTTAAATAAAATATAAAAAAAAAAAAGAATAGCCTCGCAGAAAAGTCAGTGATTTATTTCCATTGGTGATATACCAGTTGATACACAGTGCCAGTTTCAGAATTTAAGTTAGATGTCTTTGTCACTTTTTATTTCTTAATAAAAGCACCTCTCCCCACACTCCCTGGTACAAGCTTCCCCACACATAAAAGTGGAGTATTACTGTGCTCATCTAAGCAAGGTTCTTTCCATAGCAAAATGGAGGATTAAGCCTCCAGTCCTTACTGCACTGACTGACCCACGTGGGTTTATCGCTTCACCAAAATATTATATCTAAACTAGCTTACTATGAAAATAAATGGTATAAAATTCCGACACAATGGAAACATAAACACATATGCAGTTTAATGTGATCCTTTATTGACAACGTTTTGCCCACACAGTGGGCTTTTTCAAGTCGCACACAGATCTGTGTGTGACTTGAAAAAGCCCACTGTGTGGGTGAAACATTGTCAATAAAGGGTCACATTAAACTGCATATATGTTTATGTTTCCACTAGCTTACTATGCTGGGGGGTACAGTATATTAGTACCAGATGTGTCCAAATGACTAATATGATACAGGGGCCAGGAGCTGTGAATTGACCCCCTGCAACCACAATTAGGCGAGTACAGGCTGGTAGTCAAAATTTGGCTCTCGGGTAAAGGACCTGGGTTTGATAACAGCACAAGTGAAAATTGTGGGTGTTTCTACACACCTGTTGTGCCTTTGCACCTAGTAAGTAGGTGCCTGGGTATTAACTAAATCTTGTGGGTGGCATGCAGGGAGGTGAGAATCAAAGGACCTAATGGAAATAAGCCCTGCCAATTGGCTTTCTTGGATTATCCTGGTAACTAACTCAGACTAATCTGAATAAATTATCTGTTGTCATTTACATTTACATATGCATTTTTATTTTTTTTGTGTGTGTAGTTATAAGACTAAATGTCATGGCCACAAACAGGTCAAACACGAATCTAGTAGATCAAGAACGTTTCTGCAGTAACTAGCTTTGAACCGGATAATGTAGGAGCTGGTCATCTAAAAGTGCTCTCTGTGTTTTTTTTCAAAACGTACTATCCCATTTTTAAGACAATGTTATGGTTGATTTGGAGTTTTAATAATTTGATATTTACTAGTCTGCTTTATCCCTCTTTTTTGTCTTAAAATTTTTTAATTCTTTTTTCCAGAAATGTGGAGATTAAGGCAAGAGGATGTTGGGCTATGGTCATCTAGTTTTATATTTTTTTATTGTGGTGCACTGTAGTTGGGTGAAATGTGTTACAAAAGTAGATAATGCTATTATCAGCAATGATAAAGAGGCAATGGATGCTTGCAAAATATTTTGTAATTATAAACTCCTTCATTATGTGAATTTGGCCAAAGTCTTTAATGATAGTAAATATTTTGTAGACATGAAACTCAGGAGGTCTCCTGAAGAAATAGAGAGAAGATTCAGCACTTTATTAAATAACACACAGGATCATCCATCTGAAGCTGAAATGAAGAAGTTTATTGTGGAAAATTTTGATAAGCCTGGCACAGAATTTGAAAGCTGGATTCCTGATGACTGGAAAGTACATCCAAAGTTTATCTACAGTATTTATGATCTTCCTTTGAGGGACTGGGCTCTTGAAATCAACAAAAAATGGAAGGTGCTAGGAAGGAAACTGTCAAGAGATGTGCAAGTTAATAACAGTTTGTACTCCCAAATTTATGTTCCAAACCCCTTCATTGTACCTGGAGGACGTTTCATGGAGTTATATTACTGGGATTCATACTGGATCATTGAAGGTCTTCTCCTTTCTGAAATGTATGCAACAGCTGAAGGCATGATAAAAAATTTCTTGCATCTCGTAAATGAGCTTGGATATATTCCCAATGGTAGCAGAAAGTATTATTTAGGAAGATCTCAACCACCATTTTTGACTTCTATGGTAGATTTGTACTGGAAATACACTAACGATATAATTTTTTTGAGGGATTCTGTTGATATCTTGGAGAAAGAGTACAATTTCTGGAAAAACAACAGATCAATAATTGTCACGATGGATGATAAACCTTACAGATTGTTTCAATATAGAGTTAATACAACAAATCCAAGACCTGAGTCATATTATGAGGATGATAATCTTGTGAAAGGCAGAGCTGAAGAAGAAAGGTCAAAAATATTTTCTGGCATAAAGTCAGCTGCTGAAAGTGGTTGGGATTTTTCCACTCGGTGGTTTTTAGCAGATGGGGAACGTACACTCAACATAACAGATATTAATACCTTGTCAATAGCCCCAGTATGTCTCAATAGCTTAATGGGCTTGAATGCAAAGCTTTTGTCTGATTTTTTTAAAATATTAGGAAATGATTCTAAACATAATTTATACAAAGCCTTGGCAGATGAAGCTAACACAACTATTAGCCGTATTTTCTGGAGTGATCGTGATGGGGTGTGGTTGGACTATAATGTGGTTAAAAAAGAACCTATTCCTGGGTTTTATCCCTCAAATTTAATGCCTTTATGGGCAGAAATGTATGGCAAAGAGAGAACTCCAAAGTTTATTATAGAAAATGTCATTGCCTATCTAGACAGGAACAACATTAGTAATTATCCAGGGGGTATCCCAACATCACTGCTCAACTCAAGCCAGCAGTGGGACTTTCCTAATGGATGGGCTCCATTACAGTATTTAATAGTACTGGGATTATACAAGGCACAAAAATACAGTCCTCAAGCTGATAATCTTGCCTTTTCATATGCTCAAAAATGGGTACTGAATGTCTTCCAGACCTACTTAAATACCACCCCACATAATATGTTTGAAAAGTATATTGTAACTGAAATTGGTAAGAGTGGAGGAGGAGGTGAATACAAAACCCAGGAAGGATTTGGATGGACTAATGCTGTCATCATGAAATTCCTCAGTATGTATGGCCACAAACTCAAAACGCAGGATGCCTTTGATGTTGTAACACTCTCAGTTGGACTCCTCCTCATTGCAGTGTCTTTTCTGTCTGTTGTAAGTTACATGCACCGCGTACATGCGTGCCGCAAGGTTGCATGGAAATCAGAGGTCATTCCATAAGTGAAGAGTAATAAATATCTAGTGTTGTTAAAAAAGTATATTATTCTCTTGATTTTTCTAATAAAATAGTGTATTAGGCAAGGCTGGTTGACTCGGAAATTATCTGAACTGACTGTGAATTAAAATTTCCATTCAGTTTTTTATACACTTTATTCTCTTGCCCATGTAGTTTTTCAGAGGCTGTTTTATAACACAGCAAGATATTATAATTTAATTTTCTTGTGTAATTGTGAATTTTATTTATAAATTGTGCACTTGTACCTATTTGTAGGATATATATGGACCATGTGATACATAGTAGTGATGTGGTACAAGCTTCAGTTGTGAATTTAACATGGGAATAAATTATACAGAGGATACATATAAGATTGGCTTTATTGTTTATAGTTCTCTAGAAATTATATGCCAGATGTATATAGGACTATAGTTCCTCCTTTATTAATTTTATTTACTATTTTTTGAAAGGGTGCAGAATTTCTCAGGTTTTAGTAACTTTTAGGTAATTAATAAATCCAGAAGTTTTGGGGAAAAGATATTACAGTATATTTATGGACTTAAAGATTAAGTGTAATTCTGACTTGCCTTGATCTTCATCTCAACTCCGTCCAGCAAGTGCCTGTGGAAATTTGTACGTAGTAATGAACCCTAACTGTTACTTCTTATTAATGTGTGGATATGCTGTACTATATATGTATTAATACTCTGCTGTCTCAGAGTTGTTTTCATCTGACTTCTCATGATTTAAAACTTTTAATTTTGGACACAGTATTGACTAAAATTAATATCTTCCTTATAAAAGTTGAAACTTGCAATCAAAGTTTTATCAAATAACAGTTATTTTTTTTTTTTTTTCGAGAATTTTAAACTTTAACAACTCTGCAGAGCACAGTTTTCTGTATACAGTATGCCTGTATCTGCATATAGATGTACCTGATCCCTGTAGACTATAATATACATCTTGTATAAAGCAGGGCAGATAGGGCAAAAGAAAAGTGAAAAAGATACTTATGTAAGGTTTAAGATATACATATTTATATACTATAGTTTTATATATTATTTACCTTTATTTTATATACTGTATTGTTTACCCCAAACCTATAGATGCAGTGTGATTTGCAACAGCATGGTGCAGTTTTAGGATGTTTATAAGTGTTATATCTGTTTCATGTTTTTGTAATGATTACTGAGGAGCAATCCAGTGACCTCTACTAGTGCTGTATCTTCACAAGCCTGTGTCGAGTACATACAGTACACACACATTACTTACCTTAAAATATTTTTGTACTTAGCTTATAGCGAGTGGTGAATATATTTATCATAGGTAGCCTGAATAAATGAAGAATGGATATGATTGAAAACTGCTGTATAAGCGAAATGCTGAAAAGCAAAGTGCTGTGAAGAGGGACCCTCCTGTATAGGGCTTAAGATATATATTTTTTATAAGATCCATAGCTTAGAGATAATGGTGCCAGCCACTTGTCACCATATTGGTCCCCAGTAATCCTTGCACAAATTTTCTATTTTGATGATATTGCAAAATCTCCTTTTTGTATACCATATATATATATATATACAGTGAACCCTCAACCAGTGATATTAATCCGTTCCTGAGAGCTCATCGTTAGTCAGAATTATCGTTAGTCAAGTTAATTTTCCCCATAAGAAATAATGGAAATCAAATTAATCCGTGCAAGACACCCAAAAGTATTGAAAAAAAAAAAATTTTTGCCACATGAAATATTAATTTTTATACACACAAACTGAAGATTACATGCACAGTTACATGACACTTACCTTTATTGAAGATCTGGTGATGATTGATGGGATGGGAGGAGGGGAGAGGTGTTAGTGTTTAGAAGGGGAATCCCCTTCCATTAGCACTTGAGGCAGCAAGTCTTTTTCTGGAGTTACTTCTCTTGTTCTTTTAATGCCACTAGGACCAGCTTCAGAGTCACTGGACTTCTGTCGCACAACATATCTGTCCATAGAGGCCTGTACCTCTCGTTCCTTTATGACTTTCCTAAAGTGGTTCACAACATTGTCAGTGTAATAGTCACCAGCACGGCTTGCAGTAGCTGTGTCAGGGTGATTTTCATCAAAAAAGGTTTGCACTTCAAGCCACTTTGCACACATTTCCTTTATCTTAGAAGTAGGCAACTTCTTCAATTTCTCTCTCCCCTCCTCCGAAGCAGTTTCCTCAGGTGTGCCCTCTTGCTGTTGAAGATGATCTAGCAGCTCATCAGTGGTTAGTTCTTCACTGTCCTCCACCACCAACTCTTCCACATCCTCCCCACTAACCTCCAACCCCAAGGACTTCCCCAATGCCACAATGGATTCCTCAACTGGCATAGGATTCTCAGGGTTAGCCTCAAACCCTTCAAAATCCCTTTTGTCTACACATTCTGGCCACAGTTTTTTCCAAGCAGAGTTCAATGTCCTCTTAGTCACTTCCTCCCAAGCCTTACCTATAATGTTTACACAATTGAGGATGGTAAAATGATCTTTCCAAAACTCTCTTAGAGTCAGTTGAGTTTCTGAGGTCACTACAAAGCACCTTTCAAACATAGCTTTTGTGTACAGTTTCTTGAAGTTGGAAATAACCTGCTGGTCCATGGGCTGCAGGAGAGGAGTGGTATTAGGAGGCAAAAACTTCACCTTAATGAAGCTCATGTCCCTAGAAAGTCGCTCTGCCAAGTCTGAAGGATGACCAGGAGCATTGTCTAATACCAGGAGGCACTTAAGGTCTAATTTCTTTTCAATTAGGTAATTTTTCACATTGGGGGCAAATGCATGATGTAACCAGTCATAGAAAAAGTCCCTAGTGACCCATGCCTTACTGTTTGCCCTCCACAGCACACACAAATTAGCCTTGAGGACATTGTTTTTCCTGAACACTCTGGGAGTTTCAGAGTGATACACCAATAAAGGCTTCATTTTGCAATCACAACTAGCATTGGCACACATCAACAGAGTAAGCCTGTCTTTCATAGGCTTATGTCCTGGGAGTGCCTTTTCCTCCTGAGTAATGTACGTCCTGCTTGGCATTTTCTTCCAAAACAGGCCTGTTTCGTCACAATTAAACACTTGTTCAGGTTTCAGTCCTTCACTGTCTATGTACTCCTTGAATTCCTGCACATATTTTTCAGCCGATTTGTGCTCTGAACTGACAGCCTCACCATGCCTTATCACACTATGAATGCCACTACGCTTCTTAAATCTCTCAAACCAACCTTTGCTGGCCTTAAATTCACTCACACCACTAGTTGCTGGCATTTTTCTAATTAAATCGTCATGCAACTTCCTAGCCTTTTCACATATGATCGCTTGAGAGATGCTGTCTCCTGCTATCTGTTTCTCGTTTATCCACGCCAATAAAAGTCTCTCAACATCTTTTATCACTTGCGATCTCAGTTTCGAAAACATAGTTGCACCTTTGGCAAGAACAGCTTCCTTGATTGCCGTTTTCTTGCCCACAATAGTAGCGATGGTTGATTGGGGTTTATTATACAACCTGACCAGCTCAGAGATACGCACTCCACTTTCATATTTATCAATGATCTCTTTCTTCATCTCCATAGTAATTCTCACCCTTTTTGCTGTAGGGTTGGCACTAGAAGCTTTCTTGGGGCCCATGGTGACTTATTTTGCAGGTGCAATCACTAAAAAGGCTGTGATAATATGAAATGTTCCAGTTGTATGTTTGGAAGCGACCGCGGTGGCTGGCTGGCTTGTAAACGCTGGCACCCAAGGGACAAGTGAGGCGCGCTCAGGCCAAAGTGGACGCGTATGGTATGGAACGAATAGCGCTGGTCGGGTTTTTAAGCGCTAGTCGAGGCAAAATTTTTGCGTTAAAATGTATCGCTAGTCAGATTTATCGTTAATCGATGCCATCGTTGGTCGAGGGTCCACTGTATATATATATATATATATATTATATATATATATATATATATATATATATATATATATATATATATATATATATATATACATACATACATACATACATATATATATATATATGTATACATGTAGAGAGAATGGAGCAAAACAGAATGACTTCAAGAGTGTATCAGTCTGTAGTGGAAGGAAGGCGGGGTAGGGGTCGGCCTAGGAAAGGTTGGAGGGAGGGGGTAAAAGAAGTTTTGTGTGCAAGGGGCTTGGACTTCCAGCAGGCATGCATGAGCATGTTTGATAGGAGTGAATGGAGACAAATGGTTTTTAATACTTGACGTGCTGTTGGAGTGTGAGCAAAGTAACATTTATGAAGGGATTCAGGGAAACCGGCAGGCCGGACTTGAGTCCTGGAGATGGGAAGTACAGTGCCTGCACTCTGAAGGAGGGGTGTTAATGTTGCAGTTTAAAAACTGTAGTGTAAAGCACCCTTCTGGCAAGACAGTGATGGAGTGAATGATGGTGAAAGTTTTTCTTTTTCGGGCCACCCTGCCTTGGTGGGAATCGGCCAGTGTGATAATAATAAAAAAAATAATTATATATATATATATATATATATATATATATATATATATATATATATTTTTATTTTATTATCACACCGGCCGATTCCCACCAAGGCAGGGTGGCCCGAAAAAGAAAAACTTTCACCATCATTCACTCCATCACTGTCTTGCCAGAAGGGTGCTTTACACTACAGTTTTTAAACTGCAACATTAACACCCCTCCTTCAGAGTGCAGGCACTGTACTTCCCATCTCCAGGACTCAAGTCCGGCCTGCCGGTTTCCCTGAATCCCTTCATAAATGTTACTTTGCTCACACTCCAACAGCACGTCAAGTATTAAAAACCATTTGTCTCCATTCACTCCTATCAAACACGCTCACGCATGCCTGCTGGAAGTCCAAGCCCCTCGCACACAAAACCTCCTTTACCCCCTCCCTCCAACCCTTCCTAGGCCGACCCCTACCCCGCCTTCCTTCCACTACAGACTGATACACTCTTGAAGTCATTCTGTTTCGCTCCATTCTCTCTACATGTCCGAACCACCTCAACAACCCTTCCTCAGCCCTCTGGACAACAGTTTTGGTAATCCCGCACCTCCTCCTAACTTCCAAACTACGAATTCTCTGCATTATATTCACACCACACATTGCCCTCAGACATGACATCTCCACTGCCTCCAGCCTTCTCCTCGCTGCAACATTCATCACCCACGCTTCACACCCATATAAGAGCGTTGGTAAAACTATACTCTCATACATTCCCCTCTTTGCCTCCAAGGACAAAGTTCTTTGTCTCCACAGACTCCTAAGTGCACCACTCACTCTTTTTCCCTCATCAATTCTATGATTCACCTCATCTTTCATAGACCCATCCGCTGACACATCCACTCCCAAATATCTGAATACGTTCACCTCCTCCATACTCTCTCCCTCCAATCTGATATTCAATCTTTCATCACCTAATCTTTTTGTTATCCTCATAACCTTACTCTTTCCTGTATTCACCTTTAATTTTCTTCTTTTGCACACCCTACCAAATTCATCCACCAATCTCTGCAACTTCTCTTCAGAATCTCCCAAGAGCACAGTGTCATCAGCAAAGAGCAGCTGTGACAACTCCCACTTTGTGTGTGATTCTTTATCTTTTAACTCCACGCCTCTTGCCAAGACCCTCGCATTTACTTCTCTTACAACCCATCTATAAATATATTAAACAACCACGGTGACATCACACATCCTTGTCTAAGGCCTACTTTTACTGGGAAAAAATTTCCCTCTTTCCTACATACTCTAACTTGAGCCTCACTATCCTCGTAAAAACTCTTCACTGCTTTCAGTAACCTACCTCCTACACCATACACTTGCAACATCTGCCACATTGCCCCCCTATCCACCCTGTCATACGCCTTTTCCAAATCCATAAATGCCACAAAGACCTCTTTAGCCTTATCTAAATAATGTTCACTTATATGTTTCACTGTAAACACCTGGTCCACACACCCCCTACCTTTCCTAAAGCCTCCTTGTTCATCTGCTATCCTATTCTCCGTCTTACTCTTAATTCTTTCAATTATAACTCTACCATACACTTTACCAGGTACACTCAACAGACTTATCCCCTATAATTTTTGCACTCTCTTTTATCCCCTTTGCCTTTATACAAAGGAACTATGCATGCTCTCTGCCAATCCCTAGGTACCTTACCCTCTTCCATACATTTATTAAATAATTGCACCAACCACTCCAAAACTATATCCCCACCTGCTTTTAACATTTCTATCTTTATCCCATCAACCCGGCTGCCTTACCCCCTTTCATTTTACCTACTGCCTCACGAACTTCCCCCACACTCACAACTGGCTCTTCCTCACTCCTACAAGATGTTATTCCTCCTTGCCCTATACACGAAATCACAGCTTCCCTATCTTCATCAACATTTAACAATTCCTCAAAATATTCCTTCCATCTTCCCAATACCTCTAACTCTCCATTTAATAACTCTCCTCTCCTATTTTTAACTGACAAATCCATTTGTTCTCTAGGCTTTCTTAACTTGTTAATCTCACTCCAAAACTTTTTCTTATTTTCAACAAAATTTGTTGATAACATCTCACCCACTCTCTCATTTGCTCTCTTTTTACATTGCTTCACCACTCTCTTAACTTCTCTCTTTTTCTCCATATACTCTTTCCTCCTTGCATCACTTCTACTTTGTAAAAACTTCTCATATGCTAACTTTTTCTCCCTTACTACTCTCTTTACATCATCATTCCACCAATCGCTCCTCTTCCCTCCTGCACCCACTTTCCTGTAACCACAAACTTCTGCTGAACACTCTAACACTACATTTTTAAACCTACCCCATACCTCTTCGACCCCATTGCCTATGCTCTCATTAGCCCATCTATCCTCCAATAGCTGTTTATATCTTACCCTAACTGCCTCCTCTTTTAGTTTATAAACCTTCACCTCTCTCTTCCCTGATGCTTCTATTCTCCTTGTATCCCATCTACCTTTTACTCTCAGTGTAGCTACAACTAGAAAGTGATCTGATATATCTGTGGCCCCTCTATAAACATGTACATCCTGAAGTCTACTCAACAGTCTTTTATCTACCAATACATAATCCAACAAACTACTGTCATTTCGCCCTACATCATATCGTGTATACTTATTTATCCTCTTTTTCTTAAAATATGTATTACCTATAACTAAACCCCTTTCTATACAAAGTTCAATCAAAGGGCTCCCATTATCATTTACACCTGGCACCCCAAACTTACCTACCACACCCTCTCTAAAAGTTTCTCCTACTTTAGCATTCAAGTCCCCTACCACAATTACTCTCTCACTTGGTTCAAAGGCTCCTATACATTCACTTAACATCTCCCAAAATCTCTCTCTCTCCTCTGCATTCCTCTCTTCTCCAGGTGCATACACGCACCCACCGAGGCAGGGTGACCCAAAAAGAAAACACTTTCACCATCATTCAACACTTTCACCACACTCACACATTATCACTGCTTTTGCAGAGGTGCTCAGAATGCAACAGCTAAGAAGCATATAAGTATAAAGATACACAACATATCCCTCCAAACTGCCAATATCCCAAACCCCTCCTTTAAAGTGCAGGCATTGTACTTCCCATTTCCAGGACTCAAGTCTGACTATATGAAAATAACCAGTTTCCCTGAATCCCTTCACTAAATATTACCCTGCTCATACTCCAACAGATCGTCAGGTCCCAAGTATCATTCGTCTCCATTCACTCCTATCTAACACGCTCATGCACGCTTGCTGGAAGTCCAAGCCCCTCGCCCACAAAACCTCCTTTACCCCCTCTTTCCAACCCTTTCGAGGACGACCCCTACCCCTCTTTCCTTCCCCTATAGATTTATATGCTTTCCATGTCATTCTACTTTGATCCATTCTCTCTAAATGACCAAACCACCTCAAACAATCCCTCTTCTGCCCTCTGACTAATGCTTTTATTAACTCCACACCTTCTCCTAATTTCCTAAATAAATAAATATATATATATATATATATATATATATTTTATATATATATATATATATATATATATATATATATATATATATATATATACTATATATATATATATATTATATATATAATATATTATTATATATATATATATATATATATATATTATATATATATATAATATAAAAAAAATACACACACACACACACACACACACACAGTAAGTGCTTTTAAAATGTAAGTAGGTGCTGTCTGATCCTTACATAATAAATACTTCCCCATTATTTTGATAATTTAAATGTAGGTTGTATAGCATTAAACAAGTCAATTGTGTTGGTAATGATACAGGTCCTTCTTACTAGGTAATAGCAGATTTTATCTTCTGTATTGGATTTTTTAAACGGGGACCTCTTCATGTGGGATTAATCTTGCTGAGAATTTTCATGACTTTTTCTCAAATTTGGTATACAGTGGAACCTCAAATATCGAACTTTCTTCGGTCCAGAAGTCTGTTCGAGTGCCTTTACCGAATGAATTTATTCCCATCAGGAATAATGTAAATTAGATTAGTCCATTTCAGACCCTTAAAAATACACTTATAAAAGCACTTACAAAAATACACTTACATAATTGGTTGTGTTGGGAGCAGTTCGATTTTTGAGGTTCCACTGTATATGAATGTCGTCTTAATGTATAATGAATGAGAGTTTCAGATTGTCATTAATATGCAGTGTAAAACAATTTATACTAAACTTGGCCTCCAAATATGCAGTTCATTTTCATGAATTCCAGTGCATTACTTTCTGCATGGTCTAAACAGAAACCAAAATCAAATATTTTTAATATACAAGTTAAGCAAGGTTAACCTAGCATAAATTAACATATTTTTACATGTACTCTGTAGCTTACTGCCAATAATGAAGATCCATGAATGCCAGGATATAGCCATTG